ACGCTCTCACATACATACAAAAATACACATTTAATTAATGAGTCTATAAGAATGTATGAACTCACCTGAATAAGTCCCATGCAACAAAACTGTAGGATGCTTTTGTCCAGAAATCCACCATCAAAGAAGCCATTGTCTCTGAGGTCTCTGAAGAGGGATAACCAGAACTCCATGCACTGGCTGCGAAGAAACCGCCACCAATATTCAATTCTTTGATTGGCGGTGCTGGCTCCATCCAAGTAACTGTCAAGAGTGCTGCCTGGCGGTATTGGCACCAGGAAACGCTGGACGCCTTTAACGTGACCATTTTCAGTCCCAAGATCAGCTCGAACGATTCGAGGACAACCCCCCAAACGGTGCACAACTTCGATGTAGTAACCTCCAATCAACTTCGGGTCACTACTTGTTGTGTAGGCATTGAGCCACATTATTTTCCTTGAAAAACCATCAATTGCCCCATTGATACAAATTCCAAATGGTTTCAGTTTGTCATAGGAGTCCATGTGCCATATAAAATTTGGCCCTTTGGAGAAGTAGTTTCGTCGTCTCAGACGTCTTGCTTGCCTTAACGACACTCCTCTCGGATCCAACTCTTTCAGGACCAGACGAACGTCCTCTTTCCTGACAAGTAGTCCATATTCTCTGCACTTACTGTACATCCACCTGTAACCGTGTAGTTGTCCGGAATGCTGCAATTGGTTGCGAATGAAGTCAACCAGGACTCCCAAGTCATTGAACGTTTTCCGACGAAATAGTTCTCTTTGGTTCAGCACTCGCTTCAAATGTCTTTCGCTTATTTGGAAACCGTATTTAACATCAAGAACAGATTTAATGTCTTTGTATTTCAAGCCAATTGCAAAGTAAAATTCTATTAAACTCACGAACGGTTGAACACGCGCCATGATTGTTATTTTCGGTTACACGTACGATGACCCGGAAGCACATCAACGAGCATTAAAAAAAAAAAATAAATAAATAAATGAAAAAAGATTGCGAGATCTCGCAATACTTAGTAATACTTTGTGAGATCTCGCAAAGTATTGCGAGATCTCGCAAAGTTTTTTTTTTTTTCCTTACATGTCCCCTTAGGGGCTCCGTACTATGACACTGCATTTGCTTTACTTTAAAGAATTGTGCTGTGGAGCTTAAAGGTAATGGTTCAAATTCCACTGCAGACAAAATGTAAAAATGGCAACTATTAATGGTAAATGGGCTTGTATTCATGTATATAGCGCTTTTCTACGTAAAGGTACTGAAAGCTCATTAACACTGTTTGGTCATTTACCCACTGATGATGCAGCATCAGGAGCAACTAGGAGTTCAGTATTTTGCTCAAGGACATTGGTCACAAGGGTTGAGTATCCAACCAACAACCTTCGGGTTGGTAGATGACCACTCTACCACTGAGTCATGCCGTCCCTGGTTGTTGGAGCGATGCTAATCTTACTTGCTAAAATTTGCTGTTCCCCTGCGGCAGGCACCATAGCCCATCCCCTTTCGGTTTGAAATCTGTCTGCATGCCTACACTATGTAATCTGGTTCTCTGTGTAGTGTGAAACCCAAAAATATACAGCAGTTTGAGTTGGAATCTCCCTTGAGGAATTGTAATTAGTATTAGACAGAAGCGTGGTTAAAATAACTGACAGACGGACTGAGAGATTGATGATTACAGTTTGTTTCGGCTTGAAAAAAAAGACGACGGACCGACGATGAAGGATGGGTACCCAGGCCGCTGACAAATGATGAATGACTGACCGTCAATATTTTGTAAAATACCCACCTCTGAGAATTGTTACTATTACCACAAATGTCCACTTTAGGCTTCATGCTTCAGATGAGATTCATCCATCCATCCATTTTCCGATCCACTTTATCCTGACAAGGGTCGCGGGGGTGCTGGAGCCTATCCCAGCTGTCTTCGGCCAGTAGGCGGGGGACCCCCGAACCGGTTGCCAGCAGGGCACACAGAGACGAACAACCTTCCACGCTCACACTCACACCTAAGGACAATTTAGAGTGTTCAATCAGCCTGCCATGCATGTTTTTGGAATGTGGGAGGAAACTGGAGTACCCGGAGAAAACCCACACCGGCAATGGGAGAACATGCCAATTCCACACAGGAAGGCTATGTCGAACCCTGCACCTCTGCACTGAAAGGCGGATCTGCTAACCAGTCGACCACCGTGCTGCCCCGCATAATAAATTTCTTTTTTAATTTGAAAATTTACCGAACCCTCCCCATCGCCATGTCCACAGGTCTCCAGCAGGCTAATGAGGGCCAGCAGGCTCACTTTACCCTGGTTTGCAGAAACTCCAGCGGGGACCAGATGGCACGTGGCGGGGATCATGTCCTGGTCAGCATTGTCCACAGGGAGAAGAAAAACTGGTAAGAACATGTAGGCCAGATATCCATCCATCCATCCATACCTACATACACTTTATATAGTGTTTCAGAATATTTATACAGTGGGCGCCACGATACTTGCGTGTGCTATAACGCGAGTGACTACCACTAACCTTAACTGAAACAATCACAAAAAGTTGTCTTTGAGGTTGGCTGGCAACTAGTCCATGGTGTACCCTGCCTTTTGCCCAAAGTCAGCTGGGAGAGGTTCCAGCTTTCCCACGAATCACAACACACAACACAACAGAAAATGGCTGGGTGGATTAATTGAGATCAAATCAAATCCATTCTGAAATGTTAGACACCCAACAGTGAGAGCAAGAACAAAAAGAAAGAAAGATCAAAGCACAACGCATTCACTTAATTTGTTGTGATGTCAATCACTCGAATTTATGTGTTTGCTTATTTTGTGGAGATTGCTACGATATCCTGTGAGTTGTGTTAAACAATGTTATAGTTCATGTTGGTTTTGACTTACCAGTATGTGACATTTTGTCGAAGGAACTGTAATTTTTTTCTTTCAGTGTGGTGGAAAGCACAGTGGTGGACAACAATGACGGCTCTTACAAAGTTTCCTACACGCCGGACGAAGCTGGAACATACTCTGTGTGGGTTTGTGTCAAAGCTCAACATGTGAAGGTACAACATGAACCCATGTGACTGACTTAAATATAGCTACTCTGTGTACTTTATGGACTATATACGGAGAAGTACTGGGATACAATGCAGTACTGACAAGGCTGAGGAAAGGTAATCCTTGAGACTAGAAAATGAATTCACTTCAAAGGCTTCCCTGAGCAAGACCTAAAATAATATTTTTCGTTTTGTTTTACCTTTATTGGTAATGGGCATGTCATTGTTTTGTGTGCTATTTATGCCATAAATAATATTGTCGCTGTCTGATGGATGCCCCCATGCCTAAATATGGCGAAATTCATTTTTTTTTTTTCACAAATCGATACTTAAGGACCACCCTCACTTCGTCTGTTAATTTTGCACAATACGGTATTAACCTACTTATAGGGGTGAAAATAGCTTGAAAACAAATACATTGTCAGTCTTGAACATGACTTATGTCTGAGGAGTGTTCTAAAACCCCATCTATTTCATTGTTTTGCGGATGCTGTGTGCTGCCTGTATTAAACATCTGGTTGTTTCTTTGACAATAATGAGTGAAAATAGTAAGGTTAGATTCATTTAAATTGGCTTGTTATGTTAAAATTGATCGCTGTAGTACCTCATTGCAGAAGGACCCTCAAAACCCATGGAGGTAAGTCTCAGCTGCACATTACGCGTAATGCACAGGGTTAATTGGATGATTGTCTTATTGGCTCGCTCATAACATTTGTGACCGTGATGTAGGATGGGCATTTTCTTTTGTTACATATCAAAAGGGTTTTTGCACGATGGGGGCTTGGCAAGACCACGGACTGTGAAGCGCACAGCTGCCTCTAGCTCCATGTTTGTACTATTTTCCAGAGGTGGGCAATTTACAAGGAAGGCCGGAGCTGGAATTGACCCCGGTACCTCTGCACTGTGAGGTCAATGCGCTAATCACTGGACCAACGGGCCGCCATCGTCAACATGTTACTTGCTAATTATTAGAAAGGTTACTTGAAAACAAATTGTACGTAAAGGCCGAGAAATGTGAATTACACTTAGATGCTGTCCAGTTTTTAGGTTTCATTATTGAGAAGGGATAACTCCAAGCGGAGACTGATGGACGAAAACCCATTTCTGTCAATGCTTTGTCCATCATTTCTTTTTTTAGTTTTGCGTCATTCGTCAATTATCAGCAAAACGGGCGTCCATCAGTGATGGACTGACGGACCTCCTGTCACAGACGAGGGATGCCCACTTTTGCTATTTTTATTAATGCCGGAGTAATAAAAGAGTGTTTTTATTTTCTTACGCATTATTGTTTGAATGTATTTGGGAAGGCAACCAAGCTGGCATTTTTTTGATTTCCGGAAAGTTGTTATTTTGACAGTATGAGGATTCCGCCTGACAACGACGATATGGAAGAGAGTATTGAGAAAATCGTAGAAGGTAAATGTTAAAAATTGGATTGTTCTAAAGCATTATTGCCAGAACTTTTAAAAAAATTGATAAATTAGCCTAAGGAGCTGAGGTCAGCAACCAAACCTTGACACCTCTTACAATCAACAGTAGTTTGGTTCATAAAGCGACTTATGTTCTATCCTGCAGGGTTCCCCGTTTATTTTGAATGTAACGAAGAAGCTGAGGCTTCACACTGGAGTGTTTCACTGCTGCTCCTTCTGCTCCAGTGGAGGAGCCAAGGAGGCTCGCTGCGGCTGTCCGGGAACTATGCCCGGTATGAGGAGACTCTAACATTACACTAACCCTGTTGCACTCTGTTGTTTTTAATGACACAAATTACACTTTCTAGTTAATTATTGGTGTTTGGTTCATGGTGTAGTCCGAAACGATGCAAGTCACTTTAATGTAATTTACAGTAAGTACAGTTGCAGCGCTACAAAGCAAGTCACTTATAGGAAAATAGTATAAGGTAGACGTCAAAGTCCACTTTTGCAACCACAGTGATTCGTGTGAATTGTTTGTCCATATGTTCCCTGTGTTTGATGGATGGCCATTTTAGGGCATATCCTGCCTCTCACCTAAAGTCAGCTGGGATAGGCTCCAGCTCAACCATCAAAAGTAATGAGGATCTATGTGATGTATGTTCTATTTTGATGCCCGGAACTGATGTTGTTCTATGTATTTAAACACGTGACCATGTTTTTCCTTTTTCTAGCTGTTTAAAAAAATTCAATAAAAAGTTTAATAAAAAAAAAAAAAAAAAAAAAAAAAAAAAAAAGTAATGAGGACAACTGGTACAGAAAATGATGGGCAATAAATGATAACATCTCATACTTTTATTTTGTGGGGGGGAAATGGCAAAACTCACTTGCTCTTGATTTTGAATGTAGAAGTGTGTCAAAACTTCTGCAGAGTAGTGTATTTTTTTTCCTGCTCATGTAGGCACTTAACTCTTTCATTCCACAGGCAGTGGATAGAAACAAAAAGATCTGCTGAAAGAAGAGAGTCCAAACTTTATTTTGGTAGGCTCCATGTTTATCGAGCATTAAAACCAAATATTCTGTGGGCCTTGCAAGATCAGTCAAAATCCAGTAAAACGCTGGGATTGAGGGGGTTGCTCCAGTGAAAATGGCTGGGATTGAATGAGTTAATAAGACCTGACATTGATTACAGAAGGCAGGTAACATTTCCTGAACGTATAAAATGTAAACATATCAGGTATCAATTCAATTCTACAGCCGGTCAATGTTGCATCCTTGAAACCTGAATACTTTGTGTTTATGTGGGCAGGAGGATTTCAAGGGTGTGGTCACAACCACAAGGGTCATCCCGGAAAGCCGCACTGGTCATGTTGTGGCAGCACCACGGAGAAGTCAGAGTGTTTACCTGCCAGTGTGATCAAAGCCGTTTCAGCGGGCAAACACGTACGCACCATCGAGCTCTGAGGTTGGATGATATGGTCAATGACGAGCCAGAAACAGGAAATTTGTCTGCTTGACTGAGTTGCTAGTAAGCCATCTCCATGTGATGTGGAACATTCTCCGGTTATTACTTTAGTCCCTTAATTCTATTACAACACTGCCTTTGAGCTTGAAATAATGCATCAAACAATAAAATCAATGTGCCAATTAAAAAAAAAAAAGCGTTACTGTTGCAGACAGTTGTGCAAAATGTTCATATGGTGGCCAAGGGCATAAATTTAGTCAATTCACAGGCAGGGTGAGTCATCTATGAGGGGGAAAGCATTTATTCGTACAATTACATTTTAATCATTGTTTCAGACTGGTGTCTGAGATTTTCTCATGCTGCTCTTGGCCTTAGTAATGAAGTCTTTCATGTGTGAATGGTAACTTCTGTTATCTGACTGAGATAAATAAACACTTATGACCTGCCCCCCCCCCCCATTGGAAAAAGGAAGCAGTCTATCAGACGGAGGCTTTTTTTTCTTATGATTGACATAATAGTGAGGAAATACATTCATTATAAGCTATCCGTACTGAAAAACAACAACAGCTGTTTTTAGACGTGTAGCAAAGAAGCAGTGACACTCCGACGAAGGTTGAAGTGAGAGTCGAAACTGTCAACTCGGTAAGAGTTTTTCTCTTCACAAAAGAAAAAGATTATTGTCTGAGGAAAAAAAAAGAAACCGTAAACCTATTTCAACGAAAAAGAAGACAAGATGAACGTCATGGCCCTAAAATTCTGTGTTGGGACTACTACTGTACTTTTGTCATCATTGATTTAAAAATACAGTACAGTATATTTTCTATGAAGTATTATCACAATATTTCAGGATTTATTCCATGGTTCTTATAATTGTCGACACCGTATGCGTATATACAGTATAATGCCATTCTTGCAGTTGACAAGCTCCCTTTCTTTGCCTTAAGATGACAACAATTTCCTATGTTTTTATGACAAATGTATTAGAACGATGATAAATTTTCTCCAATGAGTGTAGATGTTGCTAAATGCTGTTAGTAAGTGCTCTTATTCCACACTGTACAATCATTGAATATGCATGTTTTCAACAGAAATGATACATTCTTGACATTGTAATAAACGATCAAGTGCATGTCTTATGTATGATGATGTATTATTTTTACTGTTAATTGTTTGAAAAAAAAGCGTTAGTTTAGCTCAATTTTATACCGGTTCGGTGTCCGAGACATATTTTGTATAAAATGGTGGCAAATGCCCTTTTAAAATGAATTAAGCGTTTGTTTCTTGTTATACCACCAGGTGGTAGGAGAGAATTGTTTTTTCCCCTCTCCTACCTGCTGTTCCAAAGCTAATGCTCATGTTCCTACTTCCTCCATTGCTGACATTTACAGTGACCGCTGTTGATTCACAATAAAACTAACTCATCATTGCACTTGGTGAATATTGCCTTCTTCGGATCGGTGTGTTTGGTTTGACAATGGGATGAAAGCATTAAAGTGTTCCAAACAGGGCCAGAGTCTTGCACAGAACCTTTGGCCCCTCACGAATGCTGTAAAGCCGTGTTTTTCAATCTTTTTCGAGCCAACTTGCCAAGGCACATTTCTTTCATTGAAAAAATCCCGCGGCACACCACTACCTGAAAATGTGTAAAATAAGCTTTTTTTTCACTATTTGAGAAGCACTGCTTTTGAGTAACAATAATTTTGGATAACCGACTATACAACTGTTGTCAGGAAAGGAGGGCAGGAGGTAAAGTTACAATATCACGTCCAGAGAAATTATATGTTGATTGCTAAATGGCAGGATTAGAATAGATATCAAAACAACATGTTTAGTTCACCTATTTTTAGACGCTATTATCATGTAATTTTGTTTTTTAACATTTTTCCTTTTACGCAAATTTTACCTCATGCAATTGTCAGACGGTTCCTGATGTAGCAAGGCTGCGAGAATTTACTTGCAGCTTTATAGAGGAGCGGCAGCAATAGCGGGGAAGCTTCAGACTGTCGGTCCGCCAATCAGGTCCAATCGAGCGGCCAGACAACGACTTCCGCCCCCTCTTCGGAGCGTGATTTTTTTCCCTCTTTCATTATTTCCCCCCTCCCTCCCCCAAGCAACGTAGAATCATTTGTGGGCATCATGAACGCACCCGGAAAGTCACCCGCCTTGACCGGACTGCCTGGGAATCAGATGGCACGTCAGATTTTGCCCGAAACTATGAGTGCAACGTTGAAGCGGCACGGCAGCGACTAAAGACCGCCTCTGTCGGCGGTTCACAAGGCAGACTATCTATTCTAGCATTAGCAAGCCTTGTAACATAGCTAACGGAACCAGCCCATTGGTCTGTGACCGTTCGGCGTAGGACATCGTCGTCTTCAACTCTGCGTGCAATGATGTCAGCACGCTGAACGTGCGTGCGGGATTACTATTTTCTCAGGTTACGTCTCCCGTTGAATGTTACCCGGTAAGTGAAACATTTGTTTTAAAAAAACGAGTATAAGCCGCTTGTGAGCTAGCAGGGTAGCTAGCTCGTCCGCTAATCATCCCTGACAGAATGCGACCGTCCACGAATGAACTTCTGCCATACCACAAAACACACGACAGCGATGCATCCGTTTGATCAGATCGAGATTTTTTAATTCACACGGTGTGGTTAGATGTCACTGCTTGTTATCGCCGCATGTGTTGGCCCTCCGAAAGGAGCGAGTCGCGTCATGATTCGTAACCCATCCATCCATTCACTGAACGCTTGGATTCGAAGCGAACGTCTGCTTTGCATGCACCGTCACGATGCGTGTTTGAAACCTGAACAGCAACGGAAGGCGTTTGGCCCGAATCCATTCACACAATCACCCCTGCAAACATCTGCTTTTCTCGGGCTACTGTTGTTGTTGTTATTATTATTGTTGGAATGTCTTGTGTGTGGTGGCCACACAGTAAAATAAGGTTTGACACAAATAAAGTGTTGAGTTTGTCGTTTAACATGTGTTTGTTGGCCATAGCATTACACTGTTGTGGTTCTCAACTACTGTCACCCTTTTCCCCGTATTTTTCTAGGGGACAGAATGAAATGCTTCATCTAATGAATGAATGAATACATAAATAAATAAAAACAAGTTTAACTCCGTTGGTTAATGTCTGAAAACCGGGATCAATTGTCACATAAATTCATACTCATGTCTGCGTAACCCTTGTGCTGCAATTTCTACGATGTTTGTAACACATGGGTTACCCCATATGTTACAATTTCTACAATTTTTGTAGATTTTTGCGTATTGTCATCTTTAAATCAAAGACACAGCATAAAAAGTGTGTGATATGAAATATTCCAATTCATGTTTTATTGATATAGATTTATTTTTATGTTTTGGTCATAGCACAATACCGCTTTTATTGTCCATAGAGGGCAAAAATACAAAGAAAAAAAGAACTATATGTGTATGTATAGCACTGATGCCACTGAACATGTCGAGTGGTTGAAAGTGAAATAAATATTCAGGAATAATACTTTTACAATTTTTGTAAAATTGTGTGTTGCGTTATATAAACTTATTTAGATCGACTGCAGCACATGGGATTAAACTCAACCTCTAAAAATATTCCTCCCCATAGGAACCCACTATAGAGGAAAAAATTAACATCACTTAATGTCCGAAAACTACGCCCAATCGTCATCCACATTTACATGGACGCCTCTGTTCGTGTGGGCATCATCCTCTGAAAATATCAAAATGATCGCTCAAATATTTAGGATTTTATGATCATTAAATATTTTCCCTCCCCTTAGAAAAAGCTCAGTGTCACAGGCTGTCAGAAAACTGCCTTCAATCTTCACCATTTATGTGGCCATCTCTATGTCAATTTCAGCTGCTGATTTGCCTGGGCAGGAACAGTGATTTCATTCCGCCTTGCTCCCCTTTGCTTATTTAATTTTTCATATTAATTTCAATTTACTCTTCTTTCTTGACTTGAAAGTTATTCGTAATAATTTGTTTGAATAGAATTACTGTATATTGATGGTGAATTTCCACCTGATTTTTGGCGCACCCTAGAGTACATGGCGCCCTTAGCATCTGTCTCGCTCACCTAATGGGTGAGTCTGCCCTGAAAATAGGCATAGATACCGATGTCCACAATAATTTGGGTGACGATTGATCAGCTTTCTGGTGTTAAGCAATTTAAGCTTTACTCTATAGTGAACATCTGAGAGAAATAAGCTTAATGTCCATAACATCCAAAATATTGTTTTGATATTTTCAGAGGTTGAAGTGGGCATTAAGTGGAGACGGTTGATTGCAGTTTTCTGACATGAAGAGACATATATGACAGTCACTTTCTTGTTGTTGGTAAGTTGCACCATTTTTAAAAAAGTTAACAATTAGGATTTTTTTGGGTGGTTGAAAACAGCTTTTTCAAACATCCATCTTGACATTTATTTATTTATTTTTGTCATCGTGATATCGGCATATTACCCTCATTATTAGGATCACAGATGAGCTCTCTGAAATGTATATATTTTGTTTGAGAGTTGGTATACTCTGAACCGGTTTCCCCCCAGTCGCAGGCCAGCTTAACAAAAATACTTTCTCGAACATATGGAATTTAGAGTCTTCAGTGAACCTGAATGCATGTTTGTGGAATGTGTGAGGAAGCCTCAATACCTCAAGAAAACTAACACAAGAACACGGAGTACATGTCAACTTCTGCACTGGAAATCTAGAGCCCAGATTTGAAGCCCCAGCTTCAAAACTGTGAAGACATATACGTATACATTAACCATTTTCCCACTATGTCACTCCTTTGAAAACAGATGTCTTACTTTTAAACATAACTAAGCATTTCTCCATGTTTAAAGTGCTTTCCAGAGCACCTTATAAAGGAATTGGGGAACAAAAAAAATATTAATTAATCTTGGCCCTGACAAGTTCAACCATAACAATTTTAACAGTATGAATGATTGTACTGTCAAAGCATAATTTGTATTTATAATGTAGTTGAGTTTGCATTATTAGTTTTCTGACCTGCAGGGATATTCAAATTCGTTTGATGTGCCACTAAAGCATATCTCAAGCCAGGATGTCCGCATTCCAAAGGCTGATCTGCAGTGTGATTGTTTACGAAGTAGTTGTGTGTCTATAGCGCACAAAGGTGTTATACTTCCTGTCCCTTACTGAATGTGTTCTTTGTGGGAGCTATCAAAAATAGCCATACCAAATATGAACAAGTAAAAATTTTTATGATGCCTTTCAAATTAATATGATTTTTATTAAATAGAAGTTACATCTGTCCTGGGCGCTTTCGCTGTACAGGGGGCACTCTGTTTACTATGGGTGTTCTGCCCTTACGGTGCCGATGTAACACAAATTTTTATGCAAGTCAGAGCACATTTTCACTAGTCTATGCTAATGCTATAAAGAAAATTCAACAATTACAGTAAATCTTTGTATGAAAAAATACTTCTATGCGCATGCATATAAAACAATCTACTGAAAAACAGTAAATCGACCAGTAACTCAGCATGCCATGTCCTCTTGTGCCGCATGACCACATTCTTCAGCCATTCAGCAAAATGAGCAGCATTCATGTACGCCACATACGCTACTTCAAAGCATATGTACCATTGTAAACAGAGGACCTGCTGTTTTTATTTTACTGCCTCTCCGCCACTAATCAGTTGAGAATCACTGATCTAATATGTTAATTCATGGAGATATCAAACGGCCTCCTGGCCCAGGCCCAGGAGAGCATTATTACCTCCTTGATATATCATGTTCATATTTCTGAAACTGTCATAATTGAGCATGCACACCAGTGATGATTTAAAGTGCAAGAATCCAGACTTCCCCCAAAAGGTTTGCATTTTGCCCCTAAAAGTTCATTCATTCATTCATTTTCCGATCCGCTTATCCTCACATGGATCGCGGGGGGTGCTGGAGCCTATGCCAGCCGTCTTTGGGCAGCAGGCGGGGGACACCCTGAACCAGTTGCCAGCCAATCACAGGGCACACAGAGACGGACAACCATCCACGCTCACACTAACACGAGGGACAATTTAGAGTGTTCAATCAGCCTGCCATGCATGTTTTTTTTTTTTTTTTTTTTAATTTTGGAATGTCGGAGGAAACTGGAGTACCCGGAGAAAACCCACGCGCACCCGGGGAGAACATGCAAGCGGCGCCACACAGGGAGGCCAGAGCTGGAATTGAACCCGGTACCTCTGCACTGTGAGGTCGAACATAAAAAGTAGAACATTAAATAAAATGGTGTAGTGACTTCTATGTACATAATTCACCACCAACTGCAAATGTGTGAATGCAATGTTCATATGCTTGTCAGAGAGTTCACGATTATTTGGTAACGGGGTAGAAATAATTGCAGTCCCTTTAAGGACCGCCATTTTAGTCTGCTTGTTTCTATGGAAACTTACTTTCGGCGGGCTTCGTTTGGCGCGAGTGTTTTTTTTGTGGTGCAAATAAAAAAACACGACACACTCTCTCTCGGAGTGCGCACGTGAGAAATTGTTGCTTTCTTCGAGTTCTACAATTTCCACAATGGCATGATTACTGTTGTTTACACTGATCATCTATCATGGTGAATGAAGAGAAGCTAGTTTTCTAAAGAGGTAGCATTTTCTTTAAATCATTTCAAACTGGCTCAGGTTTGCTGGGCTAAAAAATAACCAACAATTAGCTGAATGTCGAAAAGAATACGTTTTTTTCAGCACAACACTCGTGGACCTTTGCACAACTCAGAAAAGAAAATAACCCGCTAAGAAACTGAAAAATGAGCAAAGTCATTTTTACATTGTTTGAAGATATGAGAACTTAAGAAGCTCGGTGGAAGGCGATCATTGAGTAGATTCCGCTGAACATTGTTCGAGTCAAAAGTAGTCATTTAGCCATCCTTGGACACTGATCCCCTTCAGTCGTGGCTTTAGCATATCTGTATGAACTACACATTTGTTTTGGGTCCGTTTAGTGCAATATGTGTTTTTATCAAGTCACTTTTGACCTGACTTGTGGTGGAGTAACTTGACAATCAGAGCGTCCCTAAGTTAAGTGAAAATTACAGCAGCATGAGCCCTCTCCTTAAGTTCCCCACCATGGAGTAGCAATGTAGCGTGATCATATAACATGCAACAAAGCATGCCTAAAGCCTCATGTTGTCGACTCCCTTATTGTCATTGCTCACAAATTACAGCCAGGCAACCTACTTGGCGTTCAGTGACGTGCGGTGACGTTCATGGCACGAACTCCTTTGAAAGAGGAATTACAGGGGCAATGTAGTCTTTCTTTCTTTCATTCTTTCTTATCAGTTCTGTTTCGAAGAAAAAAAACACTGGATCAAAATTGGTAAACAATTCAACATTGCAATAAGAATAAGAATAAGAAAACCTTTATTCGTCTCACAATGGAGAAATTCCCAATTCACAGCAGCAAAGTTATGAAAGGAAGAAAGTAGAAGAACAAAAATTATAGGAGTTGCTGTAAAGGCAGCCACTCTTGCGGCGCCATCTTGAAATCATAAAAACATAACAAAATAATACAACACAACACAAGACACAGACAGTTATTCAATCTTAACCACTTAACCATAATACGAGAGTAGCTCATACTACCGGGGACAAATTCCTTGTGTTCTACATACTTAGCCAATAAAAATGATTGTGATTTACCTCAATACAAGTGAATGGAAGCGATTGCTGGAGTCTCTACTATATAGATAGCAGCTTGGTCTGTATGCCCTCAACCAGCCAACCAGCTTCTTCTGCGTATTGCACCAATGGAGCTCAGCACTGCCACCTACCGGCAGCGGCACAATACTTTCCAGGCTCAACCGTGCACTTTTGCTCGCAGAAGGACTAAATATATCACATTCATTCATTAAACGTATTAGACCAGAGGGGCCTTTGCGGAAGCCTGATAATGATCCTGATCATTTAAATTAAGTGTATTGGAGGAGAAAAACATATAAAACTGGCTGGATAGGAGTTCTTGAGGACCGTACTTGGACACCCCTGTATAAGACAGAAGGACTGGAGAATAAATTAAAATTGAATTCTTTTTATTTTGGCCTGACAATCTTAAAAATATGGTCTTCCTCTTTTCCTTTCGGCTTTTCCCTTCAGGGGTCGTCCCAGCGAATCAGTTGCCTCCATGTAACCCTGTTTTGTGCATCCTCTTCTCACACCAGGTACTTTCACTACATCCATAAACCTCCTCTTTGGTCTTCCTCTTGGCTTCCTGCCTGGGAGTTCAAGCATCCTTCTCCCAATATATTCACCCTCTCTCCTTTGGACATGTCCAAACCATCTCAGTCTGGCCTCTCCGACTTTCTCTCCAAAACCTCGAACATGAGTTGTCCCTCTGATATACTCATTCCTGATCCTATCCAACCTAGTCACTCCCAAAGAGAATCTCAACATCTTCATCTCTGCTACCTCCAGCTCTGCCTCCTGTCTTTTATTGAGTGGCACTGTCTCCAGTCCAAACAGCATCGCATGATTTCTACACCTTTCCTTTCATCTTAGCTGAAATTCTTGGATCACACCTGACACTTTTCTCCAGCCGTTCCAGCCTGCCTGTACACGCTTCTTCACCTCTTTTCCACACTCTCCATTGTCAACTTGTCCAGAGGGACAGTTGACCCCAAGTACTTAAAATCCTCCACCTTCTTTACCTCTTCTCCTTGTAAACTCATTCTTGTATTTGGGGCCCTCTCATTCGCACACATGTACTCGGTCTTGCTGCAACTGACCTAATTCCTCTCCTTTCCAGGGCAAACTTCCACCTCTCTAGTTTCTCCTCCACATGTTCCCTGCCCTCACGACAAATCACAATGTCATCTGCAAACATCATAGTCCTTGGAGATTGCTGTTTAACCTCAGATGTCAGCCTGTCCATCACCGTAGCGAATAAGAAGGGGCTCAGAGCTGACCCCTGGTGAAGACCCACCACCTTGAATTCCTCTGCCACACCTACAGCACATCTCACCACTGTCTTACAGCCATCATACATGTCCTGCACAGCTCTAACATCTCTGTCACCCCAGACTTCCTCATATAATACCACATTTCTTCTCTGGGCACCCTGTCATCCACTTTCTCCAGATCTACAAAGACAGAATGCAGTTCCCTCTGACCTTCTCTGTACTTCTCTATCAACATCCTTAAAGCAAATACTGCATCTGTTGTACTATTTTTTTTTTTTTGGCATGAAACCAATCTGCTGCTCACAAATGCTCACTTCTGTTCTTAGTCTAGCTTCAACGACTGTTTCCTATAGTTTCATTGTATGGCTCATCAACTTTATTCCTCTGTAGTTACTACAACTCTGCACATCTCCCT